GATCCCTGCCGAGGCTCTAAACCATGCCTTGCAAAAATTGCAAAAATGGTTCTAGTACCAGCGTCAGGCCCAGGTGCAGGCCAGGCTGACACCAACATGTCTGAAAGTCAAAAGAATCAGTGTTAATGCTAGGACGTCACCCGGAAGTGGCGCGCAGAACCCCCGCCCGAGTTCTGTGGTCAGTATGCGAGGGCTACCGAGGAGGGAACGGCCTCGGCCAAAGAAGCTAGTTCGAATTGGAACTGTGAACGTAGGGTCGCTAACTGGAAGGTCCCGAGAGGTTGCTGATCTGATGACGCGCAGAAAAATCAAGTCCTATGCCTTCAGGAGACGCGATGGAAAGGGGCCAAGGCCAGGGAAATCGGAGAAGGTGTCAAACTCTACTACAATGGGAAGACACCAAGCGGAATGGTGTGGCCATAGCGGTAGCGGAGTCGCTCAAGGACTATGTCCGCTGTGAACAGGATCAGCGATCGGATCATGGCTGTGAGGATAGACACGAAGGAGGGGTACTGGTCAATACTGTCAGTGTACGCTCCGCAGACCGGATGCCCCGAGAGTGAGAAGGACGAGTTCTATCTAAGGCTTGACGAAGCCATCAGATCGATCCCGGAAAGCGATTACTTGACCATAGCAGGTGATCTGAATGGGCACGTCGGCAGCGACAGAAGAGGCCTTGAAAGGGTGCACGGAGGTAGAGGAATAGGAGTGAGGAACGCCGAGGGAGAGAGGGTCCTGGACCTGGCTACTGCCCACGATCTGGCAATCTGCAGCACGTTCTTCGCGAAAAGGGAGACTCAGAAGGTCACCTACAGCAGTGGAGGGAGACAGACGGAAATCGACCATGTACTGGTGAGAAGATCATCCCTCAAAACTGTGAAGGATATCAAGGTAATTCCTGGCGAAGACCTGGCTCCTCAGCACAGGCCCCTCCTGGCAGACATAGCCATAGACCTTCCCAAGAAGACAAGGGTAAGAACCGAGAGGAGAATCCGGTGGTGGAAGTTGCACCGAGCAGAGAAGAGCGACCTCAAACGAAGGATAATGGAAGTTGGTCTCCCAGATCCTGAGGGACCAGTGCAGCAGGCTTGGGGCACTGCAGCTGAGATCATCCTACGATGCGCCAAGGAGGTACTGGGAGAGACGCGAGGTGGATTCAGAGGAGACAAGGCAGCGTGGTTCTGGAACGAGGAGGTCCAGCGAGTCGTGAAGCAGAAGAAGGAAGCATACAAGCGCTGGCAGAAGACCCGGAGCCCGAAGACCTCGCTGCCTACAAGAGTTGCAAGAGGCTCGCTAAGGCCGCCGTAGCCAAGGCAAAGAACACGGAGATGGACGCCTTGTACGAGAAGTTGGAAAGCAGAAACGCAGAGAAGTTCGTCTTCAGACTGGCCAAAGCCCGGCATCGGGCTACTCAAGATATCAGGGTGGTGAAGAGCGTGAAGAGCAACAACGGCGCCATACTGAGGAAGCCAGCCCAAGTTCGGAGGAGGTGGGAAGAGTACTTCAGAGGTCTTCTGAACGAGGAGTTCTCCCACGAGAACAACTCACGGGCAGAGGCCACAGCTGGTCCCATCGCACTCTGGACAGAGGATGAGGTTCGGCGTGCACTTGGGAAGATGAAGGTTGGAAAGGCAGTTGGTCCGGATGGAGTACCCATAGAGGCTTGGAAGGCCCTGGGAGAGCACGGGGTGAGGTGGCTCACCCGCTTCCTGAATACGGTGACTGCCGAAGGAAGGATGCCGGATGCCTGGAGAACAAGCACTATCGTCCCCATCTTCAAGCAGAAGGGTGACGCGATGGACTGCTCCAACTACCGCGGCATCAAGTTGACTGCGCATACCATGAAGTTGTACGAGCGCCTGGTCGACTCGAAACTGCGGGACCTGGTCCAGATCTCCCAGGAACAGTTCGGGTTCATGCCCGAAAGGTCTACAACGGATGCCATCTTCATCGCTAGGCAAGTGATGGAGAAGTATCGCGAAAAGCGCCGACCTTGCTACCTAGCCTTCCTCGACCTGGAGAAGGCGTTCGACCGGCTACCGCGAGCAGTGCTATGGAGGTCGCTTAGGGAGCGGAATGTGCCAGAACACCTCATCTCTCTGGTGAGGGATATGTACGAAGGAGCCAAGGCAGCTATACGCACCCCATACGGCCTAACGAAGGAGGTGGACATCACGGTCGGGGTGCACCAAGGGTCAGCTCTGAGCCCGTTCCTCTTCCTCCTAACACTAGATGGCCTGGTGAAGGGGCTCATGGAGGACCACTGAAGACTATCCTCTATGCTGACGACGTCGCCTTGATAGCTGATAGCAGAGAGGAACTTCAAGCCAAGGTGCAGAAATGGCAGAAAGTCCTGACAGAAGGTGGGCTACGGCTGAATGTCAAGAAGACCAAGTTCCTGAGCTCCGAAGAGGGTGCAGAGCCGATCGTGGACGGCCATGGTGAGACCATCGAAAAGGTGGAGGACTTCAGATACCTCGGGAGCGATCTGGCAGCCGACGGAAGTGTGGATCAGGCAGTAAAGGCACGAATCAACGCGGCCTGGATGAAATGGAGGGAGTCCACTGGAATCCTCTGCGATCGAAGGTGCTCCAGAGCGCTCAAAGGAAAGGTGTACCGGACAGTGGTAAGGCCTGCGATGCTATACGGCAGCGAGTGCTGGCCCCTGAACAAGAATCACGAAAGGCAGCTTCACTCCGCTGAGATGAGGATGCTGAGATGGGCCTGCGGCTGGACGCTGGACAAGGTTAGAAACGAGGACGTCAGAGCGGTCATGCAGACTGCCCCTGTCCAGCTGAAGGTACGAGAACAGCGTCTGCGATGGTATGGGCATGTGCTAAGGAGGCCACAGGACCATCCGATAAGAACAGCGATGGACTTCGAAGTACAAGGCAAGCGACCGCGAGGAGCCCCGAAGAAAAGGTGGAAAGACGTAATCAAGAAGGACCTAGGTGAGGTCGCGGCCACGATGGAAGATGCCCTGGACAGAGCAAGTGGCGACGACTGACAAAAACAGCGGACCCTGCGACTGCGCGGGACTAACGCTAGGGAGAAGAAGAAGATTCACAGCTTTCTGTCGCCTTTCCTGCTCCCAATATCTCAGAAGTGTCGGACATAGGGGAGGTTGGGTTTCGCTGTGAGAGCTCCCGAATCTTTCAAGCTAGGTGAATGCTCCTTCTAGATTTGCTAGCATGCTCCATCAACTCTTCAGCACTGGTGTGTACGCGGGATGATCAGTGAAGGGAACTCTGGGGAACCAGAGGGAACATGGCGCATTAGTCAATATCGTGGTTCGAAGAACGACAGCCTGAAGTTCAGCCACCGAAGGCATTTTGTTATGACTTACTAAATTTCTTAGGTTAGGACATGTGGTATATAGCAAACAGGTCTACGCTTTGGGATTTTCTGGAGATTTTTTATAGTAATAATGTAGGCGATTCACTAATCGTGACAACAATATAATATCTAGTATGAAAGGGCGCTGCGCTATAGAACAAAAGTGATCGACGAACTGCTTATTAAGGATAAGATGATTTTAAGCGATGGACAAGGCTTCTCAGTGTTGAATGCTCACCGAAGAATCTATCGTATTGATAAATTCAAGCATGAATGCACACCGTCCAGAGCCAATTTTAGTTGGCTTTCTCGAGGATTTATGACTAAATGGCTAACTTTGTTCAGAGATCTGCGTACGCGCGCAGGGGGGGGTTAGGAAGGAGAATTAGAGAGCAACCAGAAATGACCTTCTTTCCTCCTTGTTTGCACCCTTTCACTTCTCAAACAGGTGACAGACTGATAGGAACTCAAGATCCTCAATTTGAGTAGCTGAAAAGCAGCGAAGAAAGCTTTAGAAGAAATTTACTAGGAGTACTTGCGTGTAACGCACGAGGAGACCAAAGCTTCGAGCTCGCATACGTAACACTGGAAATTTTGAATTCTGCTTGCTCCACATTATGTGCACGATGTGAGTAACTTGAGGTTCACATTGGTTCACCGTTCAAAAGCTTGTTATACATATGTTGCCATGTATAGGCGCCAAGAATCTAGGACACCCTGTACATTATCAGTTCATTAGTAGTAGTACAAGGTAAATTCGATGAGAGAGTGATAAGGACGACAAGCTTGTAGAACGTATATAGAATACCGAGAGTCTATAGGAAAGCAGAATAGAGAATTTTCTGGAAGATTCTCCTGGATTTGCTCAGTTTTGATGAACGATTTTATTCATACAGTGCTTGGAATGAATTGATGTTTGATAAAAATTTGGAAAATAATCTAGCTTAAGTGTTTTACAAAAGGGGCATTGGCTATGGCCTTTGCGTAGCTCAAGCTATGTATGTTGACATCTGGCCACATAGGTATCATTATGGCGAAATTTGGAAGCTATTCGATCACAAACAAAAAAAAGGAAGCTTTGAAAATTGGCCCACCTTCTTAGTTTTTAAGCTTATGTCGAAACAATTCCAAATTTCATAGTTATGCCGAAAAAGTTTATAATCTTGCACAACATTATAACCCATAATTTTGATTTAAGAATGGATCTACTTCAAGTATTTTAAGAAAAAGTGACACTTACTTGGCGGTTGCGGGGACCAGCGCCGATTCATTGTTGCACTTGTACACAAATACTTGTAATACTAACAGCAACACACAATGAAATGGCAGGTTTAGCTCATAATTAGGAAGGGGAAGGTTGACTGAAGCAACCTCTAGCAGGATTAGAAAAACCATGCTGTTTCAGCGGCAATGCAAACATTTGAATTTGATGGTGGCAATTGCCACCGCCAGGGCCGAAAGGGTGTATCCAAGCCAGAGCCAATTTCGTTGTGAAATTCGGAAGCATTTTCCATGAATTAGCCCGCTATGAATCAAATTATCCATGAGCGGCATGGTTCAGCCATTTTTTCTCTAAGCGCTCCCTAATTGCCACCAGTTTAACATCTTTTTGTGTTATTATCAATAATTTCTGAAACGCTAATTCAATTCGGGCACTTACAGGCAGTTTTCACGCCGATACGAGAGAATGGATTTCAGCTGGGTCGCATCATTTTCAACATGTACACATTGCCGGCATTCTTCATGGTGCTGCTTTCTATAGCATGTTGCTTTATAATCGAAGTTTTTTTTTGAAGAAGAATATGCCGGTATTATGGATGAAAGCCACGACGGTATCTGCACATAATATCACGGAATAATATAATTTCATTTTCAGATGAGAGATTTTTCAACTTGATGACGTCCGTGGATAGTAAAGTAAATGATTCAGAAGCCAGTGCCTTTGTGGTGATTCCAAAGTTTGATGTGATGCCAGCTGCTATTTGCATTTACTTATGGATGGTTTCATGCATGGTCGCAACTAATATTGAAGTGTTAGTTCTTCTATTAACGATTGAACATCTTTCAGATTGACACTTTTTCATTAGAATAATTTCAACATTCGTGTTCGCGAAAATGTACTCATTCCTAAAGAATACACTCACTAGACCGTTCATAGAGATTTTGACAACTTCATCGAGCTTGATGGGACGATATTCTGCCGTTGGTCCAGGCTTGAATAGGAAGAGAAACCGGACCAACGCTACTGAAAAGCCAATCAGCTATTCAGTGATGTTCTTGCAAAATCATGAAAGTAGGATTCGTCATTTAAACTTTTCGAACCCCTGTACCGAAGACGTAGAACGCGTGATAATCTTCATACCAACTCTATGCTAGAGTTCAAGAGGTTTTTTCAATGGAAAATACAGTGATCGTCTCTTTTAGAATCTCCACCTTTCGGTTTGATGCTGAGCTGGTTTCTTATAGAGATTTCAAGTGTGCGAACAAGGAAAAAATTGTACAGATACTTTCCAATTTTGACTGGATGCGTTACTTCGATAACTATTTGGACATTGACGAAGTCTATGGCAGATTCACTGCCGTTTTACTCGACATCATAAATCGTTACATACCCCTCCGACAGTACGTTAAGCATTCTTCTGGTAGATATCCCACGCACATCCGTAATCTTTTCGAGCAGCGTGAGCGACTCTTTCAGCAACTCTTTCAGCCATCACAAAATGCCCTCTTCCTTGATATTTCCAAAAAGCTGGATTTCCATGTAAAACGCTTCCTAGCTTTTAGAATGCGAAAACTGGCTAAGAACGAGAGTTTAAAAATGCTATATCGATACATCAGGAAGGTCAACACAACTTACAATATGCACCATATCTTGGAAGATTCCGAAGGGAATAAATATTCAACTCATTATACGAAAGCTGAAGCAATTGCTGATTATTTTGCTAGTGTGTACGGGAAGCCACATGATGGCAACATAAGTCTACCTTCGGTTTCCGCCGAGTGTTTGGTGTTATCAAGTATCTCACCCCGCACTGTTTTGAAGTATCTGAGAACGCTTAAACCATCATTGTCTCTCACATCAGATGAGATCCCCCAACTTTTCTTCAAAGAATATGCGAAGTATCTTGCAGTTCCCCTTGCACATATTTTCAACATCTGCCTAGTTCCAAAGCCAAATTCCAAGTGTTTGGAAGAATTCCTTAGTCACCCCCATACCCAAAACGGCCAACTGCGATCTTATAACCAACTTCAGGCCCATAAGCATCCTGCCCACCCCATCGAAAATCTTTGAGAAAATAGTGAGAAAGAACTACTGGAATGGATTTCTAAGCTCCATCTCATCCCACCTGAGCAGCATGGCTTTTTGTCAGGGGTATCTACATGTACTCAGCTACTTACTTGTACACATGCTTGGACAGAAGCCATAAACAGCGGGAAGAATGTTGACGTTGTTTACTTCGATTTGAGCAAAGCCTTTGACAAAGTATGCCACTCTAAATTGCTTGCTAAGCTGGAAAGTATTGGAGTCAGGGGTGGTTTGGAGCTACCTTGAACTTGTTTAGATCTTACCTGCAAGGGCGGAAACTTAACGTTCGAGTAGGAAACTGTATTTCGACTACAAGAGAATGTCCTTCTGGGGTCCCCCAAGGGGGCGTTCTATCACCTCTTCTCTTTCTCATCTATACCTACGACCTACCTAGTTATCTCAAAACTGACAGCAGGATCTCCGTTGCCGCATTCGCGGATGACATAAAAGTGGCAGTGACTTATACACAAGATGAGCGGCATGAAGCACAGGCACTGCTGAACAATTGTGTTGAAAGAATGATCAGCTGGGCCCATTCCTGGAGCTTGGAAATCAATTCTAGTACGTACTTATTCTCGCTTGGAGTGACACCGCTAGAAATTCATTTCCCAAATAAGATTCCGTTGAGGCATAGTGAGCAAATAAAAGGCTTAGGGATCAAGCTCTCAAAAAATCTGAGCTGGAGCATTCATGTGGATGAAGTCAGCAACAGAGCGCTCACGTTGGTCCATCTCTATTCAGGATTATCCATGGCGTCAATGTTGACATGTGGATTAGGCCCTTCGAATCATACATCCTTCCAATGTTAGAATATTGTAGTCCCATCTGGAGTCCATACCTTGTCAAAGACATCCAAAAACTTGAGAAGGTTCAGAAAACCTTTACGAGAATCTTGTTCTACAAAGTTTTTCCGGATATGAATTACCCCTACACTCTGCCATCTTATCATGACCGTCTTCTTCTGAAACTGAATTTGAAGAGTCTTCTCCACAGAAGGATTGTTTCTGATCTAGTCTTTGCTTTTAAGATAATCAAAGGCGAGTTACGAATCCGTCCATCGAACTTTTGGATTTTTCGGCCTTCGAGCGGACGTCGAGGCGGCTTCCAAACTTTTGGCCACGCAATGGGCAAATTTCATAAACAGCTTCGTTCTACGCACCACTCGGTGGCTGCAGCGTCTACCTCCATTCCTACTTTCGTGTCAAAACTCCTCTCAGTTCAAAGTAGCGCTAAAGAAGCTCAATTTATTAGAAGTTCTTGGTATTGAAGACGTATCTATAGTCGATGTTCATGTTTTCCTGAGATGTTGACCTGTCGTTTCTTTGTGGTCAGTGTGCGATTCCTCGGGTGGACACTTTACGCGGCTACGACTACTCTAGCCTAATGATTTGGGAGGATGCGTCGCGGATTCTGTCAAGTTTGCCGGTTCCACGTGGGTGGTCGGCATACCCGTGTCTCGAAGTTCCGGTAAACTCCCATGACCCCGCAAGTGGCGCAAGGGCACCATGGCCGACTGGTGCTGACTTAAACTGCAATGCTAATCCCAAAGAGTTCTGGCTTGAGTCTTCGTAGCTTCGTGTGACTTCGTTTGCGTGAGCACTTATGATGCCCTTCCTTGTCCCGTTCGCCGAGGGAAGCAGCTTGCCTGAACAACTTCTTCTCTTCTTTCCTCATTCAGTAGTCTTTCTTTGCTGTTTATTTCATTTTCATTCTTTTTCGGTTTCCACGACTTCTTGG